TGGCGGACGGAGGCTGCAGGCCTCGTCCGCCGGCCTGGAGAGCGGGCGGGGGGAACCGGCAGACGGAGGCTGCAGGCCTCGTCCGCCGGCCTGGAGTGCGGGCGGGGGGGCCTACGGCTCCGTTCGCCACTGTCCTGAATGTGGCGGGTTAGTTTATGGCCAGAAGAATTGCCCTCAGAAGACGCTGGCTGCGATACTGGCTCCCTCCCCTCCCAGCCACCCAGCCAATGGCAGCCCAGGTTCACTGAGGGAGCCAGTCATCGCAGCCAGCATCTTCCGAGTGGCAATTCTTCCGGCCATACACTAACGGGGCGCATTTTAGAATTTTGGCACCCAAAACTCTTTTATTATAAGGGAGAGATGTGTCAAGAACCAAGGGTTCCATTCAAGGACTTCCTCAAGACTACAATGTGGGTCCCTATCAGGTGGTCTCGGGAAAGCACTCCAAGAAAAGACTTGCCACACATCACAAGGTGGGAAAGAGCTTCTTCTTGGAGCTCCTGTGGGAACAGGAAGAATGAAGGTAGAAGATGGGAGTCCTAAGGCAGTCAGTTCAGTTGTCCAAGGTATAAAAAACAAGGTGCCTGGAGAACAACAGCAATGCAGAATTGGTTCACAAGGAGGTTTATTTTATCATTGGATTTATATCCCGCCCTCCCCACAAGGGGTCTCAGGGCAGATCGCAACAGTCAAATAACGGTATAAATAAATAAAATTAAATTTTTTAAATCAACACGGAACAAACGATTCTCTGGTGCCCACTAATGCCTCCCACTGGCACAGGGCATATAAAGACTAACAACAGAGCCCACTCAGCCCAGGAGGGTTCTTGAGGGCAGTGTGGCCAAGACCTTCAGGTGTCCGCCGCCTCAACCAAAGGCTATTTATAGACCTCTTTTCTCCCCAGTGGGGACCCCAAAGCAGCTTACATCATACTCTCCTGCTCCATTTTATAACAGCAACCCTGTGAGCAATGCTCCCTCTAGGCTGTGGAGTCTTGTGAGCAAAAATTCCACTTTGTGAGCTACTGGCATTAAAGCTGTGAGCGAGCTAATTGGCTACTGCATAAATTAGTTTGCTCTGGAGCCATCCTTCCTGAGCTGAGACAAAAATGTGTGAGCCAGAAGCTAAAAAACTGTGAGCTAGCTCACACTAACTCAGCCTGTGAGCTAGGTTAGGCTGAGAGTGAAAGGTTGACTCAAGATCACCCAACAAGCTTCCACAGTAGAGGAAGGATTTTGAGCCCGGGACTCCCAGACCTTAGCCTAGCACTCTAACCATTACACCATGCTGGCTCTCATTAAGAAGTTTAGAAGTCTTACTTTCAAAACCATAAACACAGGGGTGGGGTGTATGTGTGAAAAGCTTCAAAAGCAATGAAGCTTTAGGCAGTGGCAGAAGAAGCCACAAAAAACCGTATGGCACAGATACCCAAATGTATATTGGCTGGAAGGTCTGCCACTGCTCCCATACCAATAAAAAAAATACTAAGTCTTCCACCACGGTATTATTTATTGTATGGTAGAGTTACACACAGGAAGCACAACTATTTATCGTATGGCAGAGTTACACACAGGAAGCACAGTGAGTTGTTGTGACATCATGGCTGGAACCAAAGCAGGCACCGTATGTTCCAAGAGGCTGCTTGGATGCTAACCACAATGTCCCAACAGCCCATGAGGGCTGAGGACTCTCTTATTGGAGTACAAGCAACAGTGGGAACAATACTTTTAACGTGCACTTGGAAATGGGGTCTAAGGGGGAGATGCGAATCAGCAGAGAAAACAAATGAAATCATGCAAACTCAAGAGAGAGGTTACAGTAGAATGTCCATATTTTGACCCCCGGTAGCTTTCACAGACCTGTAGCTTCTCGTAGATCCTGGAAGAACTTCTGGTTGAATATGAAGGCCACACCACTGATCTCCTCAACTTTGGCTTCCGCTGTGGTATTGCGGTTGATGAAGTTTGCCGTGATGGCGATTGCCAGCTTCCCTCGGAACTCTTTTCGCCGAAAACCTGCACATTGTATAAGACGGGACAACAAAAACAGAACTCTAGGTCAGCTGTTCCCCTTGACAACAAAAGGTCGCGCTGAATACATGTGAGGGACCCAAACGCTGCAGAAATTCGCTGAGAATATTAAAGGCAGCAGGGGCAGTGGAAGCAACTTAGTCGGAACCAGGCAGTGTGATGAAATTCTTTCTTGCAGAGAGGAGGGATGCTCACCTAACACAGACTCAGCACATACCCCAACAAACCCAAGAGAGAGGCAGGCACATATCTGACCAAATACGCAGAGAAATAAACACACCTGCTGACTTCTCGTATTGCAGGGCATGCTTTACGCAGGCTGCTTAATCTGTTACATAAGAAGAGGCCTGCTGGCTCACACCAGGGGTTCCTCTAGTCCAGCATCCAGACTCATACAGTGGCCAACCAGTTCCTCTGGAGGACCAACAACAGGGCACAGAGGCCAAGGCCTTCCCCTGATGTTGCCTCCTGGCTCTGGGATTCAGAGGCTTAGTCACAATGGCTAGTAGCCACCAATGGACCTATCCTCCATGAATCTATCTAACCCCCTTTTAAAGCTGTTTATTTCTATAAGGACATAAGACGCATGAAGCAGCCCTCAAAGTTTCTTCCCCTGTCACTTTCCCACTAAACTGCAGGCAAAGACAGATACCTCCCCCCCGCCAAAGTGGCAACTAACAGCAGTGGGCATGGGTGCCTACCGTGATAAGCAGCATTTTCCTACTACCTTGAATTTCAGATGTGCGCTAAATTCCTCCTTAGCTACTGGGTGGGAGCAATGCACGGCCTCCTGACCATTATAAAGTTAATTGTTGCAGTGATACTATAGTAGAGATGGCCGTGGAAACGTATACATTAACTAATTAGATTGTGTGCTGAGTTTTTACAAGACAACAGCCTGCTTAGCAGCTCGTCAGTCTACTTACAAAAGTGCAGTTGCCTCCCTTCATATGATTAGATCTACATGTGTGCTATTTGGCTATCAGCTGCATGGTTTGCCTACATGTGGCACAAAGTCGCTTGTGTCATTCTTAAAGATTACAACATAGATGCTTTCTCCTTGTAGTAAAATACATACCATGTGAAGCAAGCCTCCTCAGGCAAGTTCCTGGGAATAGCAATTTGGGCCAGCTGCTGTCTCTGCCTAGCCTAGGATTATTGTGAGCATGACCGAGAAGGGAATTTGAAAGCACTCGGCTCACCTTTCACCAGTGTTCCCTCTAAACTGAGTTAATGTGAGCTAACTCACAGTTTTTTAGCCTCTAGCTCACACATTTTTGTCTCAGCTCAGGAAGGATGGCTCCAGAGCAAACTAATCTAGGTAGCAGCCAAATTGCTTGCTCACAACTTTAATGCCAGTAGCTCACAAAATAGAATTTTTGCTCACAGGACTCCACATCTTAGAGGGAGCTTTGCATCTGACTGCTAGGGACAGAGCTAAAATAGTAAATCTAAATGAGTCAAGCCTAGCAGCAAAGCAAATATGAGCAAACGAAGCTCCCTTATACTGAATGAAGCCCTTGCTCCATCTCACTCAGAGCCATCTACCTAGACTGGCAACAGCTCCCTAAGGCCTCTAGGGGAGGAAAGCCTTTCCCAGCACAGCTGCATGAGACACTTTTATTGGGAGGCACCAGCGACTGAACCTGGGAACTCTGCACGTAAGCCAGATGCTCTGCCACGGAACGACAGTCCTTGCATTTTGCAGGATCATTTTTATTAAGTGCTCCTACGGAGAACGTGTGAAACACACGCAAGGCAAACTACAAACATGATTCTGAGAGGAACCGGCTCTGTGCCATGAGCAGACACTAGAAGCCGCTACCTTCCAAAGTGTTCCGCCGTCCGTCCCCTCCGATGATCACATCGAACTCGTATTCCGATATGGGATGCGTCTTCGGGTGGACTTGCGCACGCCAGCCTATCCCTGTGGAAGAATTCCATATTATTCGGATGCCCCCCCGAAATTACTGCACGACCATTCGGGAGATTCGGGTAACAAGGCACTGAAGCTAGCAATGCTGATGTGGAAACTTAACCACTCCCGCCTCCACCTCCTCCTATGCAGTCTTCGTTACTGAGAGCAGCACAAAGAAGCAACACTGGGGAAGCAGCACCCACAACACTGCAGGTACAGAGGAACCGCCCCATTGCCATCAGCTGCAGAGCAACGCAACCTTTCGGCCTTCATCCCTCCCCAAGCTGTTGCCAGCCGCAACCCTACTTACTCTCATTCTCCTGGTCCTCTGGAGGGTAGAGAAGACCCTGGAACTCCACGTTGACATGGATCTCAACCCCCAGGATCAAGGAGACCTTCAAGAGTATCAGCTGGAGCTGACGAATACCTGCACAGGTAGAAGACAAAGATGATTACAAGAGGTCAGTCCTTCGAGCTACGGCCGCTGGAGGAGCAGCAGGTCTTTGGAACGTGCCGCTGGCAGAGGGACACTCAAGCCTCGAAAAGGCTCTCTCCAAAGCCAGCAGGGTTGATGTGTTTGGCTGCTGCAGTAAAAACCAGACAGAGTCTTTTGGAAATTTGTAGACCAAGATATTTATTGCAGCACTAGTTGCCGTGGCCTTGAGCCCGTTTAGTCAAATGCAGGAAGTGAATTCTCAAAAGTCTGTGAGATTCCCCCCCCTTTTATGCACAGAGAAAGAGGCAAGGGGAAAAGACTGAACAGCAGATCAAACGGGTTTGCGACATGTCTAAGAAAAAAACCCAAAGTATACAGATAGTCACAGAAGGATTCTGTTGTTTTAGCTAGGGACTCAACAAGTCTGACAATTTTCTAAGTCTCTACAGGCATTAAACTGCTTAACAGAATTAAGGGTTCATATTCTTGCTAGCTCCTGTTCTTATGAATGAATGCCAGCATATGTTCAGGCTTTGCAGAGAAATGGCACAAACAAGGCCTTTTAACTCATTGTGGACACTATTGTTTCTTTCCTCTGTCTATAAAAACCCTGCTGACTCAAAATTCATTTCTAGGATTGCCAGGTCCCCCTTGTCAATCCAGCGGGGGGATTTGGGGGGTGTTTCTGGGGTGGGCAATGACATCACCCAAAAGTGATGTCATCATGTCAGCAACACTCTGGTTTTTGGGTGAAACTCTATGGTAAATTTGCCCCAAACCATAGGGTTTTACCCCAAAACCAGAGCATCTCCCCCGCGCAATGTCGCTGACACGATGACATCACTTCTGGGGGACATCATCACTTCGGGGACATCGCACAGCGACATCCCTGTTTAGGGGCAGGGTTTACCCTGCTGACCAGCTGGTCCATGGGCAGAAGCCCCCGAAAGCAGGGGATCCCCTGCTCAGACCTAATGCTGGATAGCAAAACATAACAAGAAGTAAGCCAGATTTCCATAAATCCACAGAAAAGGCATCACGTGCCACTGACTCCATTTGCAAAATGAGGAAACTCCATCTTGCAAACCCTGTTTCACCTGTTTTTGCTGCTCTGTGTATACAGAAGGAATCTTATATTGCAAATTAGGCTTTTACACACATTTGTCTCAGCAAATTAAAAAACATCCTGCCTCCTAAATGAAACTGCTAATCAAAGGTCTCAGTTAATAACCATTTGCTCTCTGTTTTCATTTTATCAGAGGTTCTTGCAAACTGTTTTGCAGGACTAAATGCAAAGTGGATGAGGCCTCTGAACTAGCGACATGGGCAGGAGATACAGGCACCCAACATTAACACTTGCTATGAAGCCAGGACAGATTTCATACTGGTTAAATTTTGGAGTCTTTTCTCTGGTTTACTTTTCATAGTGAGGGTTTAATTCAAGAGTACTGGCAAATGACTGATTATTTAAACAGGGAACTAGAAAGTATTTTCGAAGTTTATGAAATCCTGTGAAAAGGAAGACAACAAAGGCAGGAATCTTAGTCTGGGGGAATCTGTATTTCGCAGAGTCAAGGGCTATTCTGGAGATACGATCCTTGCTTTAGTTGGGGGTGGGGTGGGGTTTCCCCTCCCTTCAAACCCAATAGGCAGGCCAGCAAATTGGCAAATGTTCTGCACTTTGGAGCAAGGCTGACCTGGATGGCCCAGGCGAGCCCAGTCTCATCAGACACTGGAAGCGAAGCAGGGTTGGCCCCGGTTGGTATCTTCAGGATCACCTCTCTCAGTATGCCTCTAGAAAAGCGTTATGCTCTGGGAATAAGAACCTTCTGGTGGTCCCCAGCCTGAGAGTGATCCAGCTGTCTTTCATCTAAGACCAGGGCCTTTTTGGCCCTGGCCCCCGCCTGATGGAACTCTCTGCCAGAGAACATCTGCGCCCTATGGGATTTGCTATCATTCTGTAGGGCCCATAAGGCAGAGATGTTCCGCCAGGCATTTGGTTGAGGACATCGACGGTCTGGCACTCTGATGTCCCCACCTCCCCCTCACCCCCTCCACATCCCCTTCACCCAGGGGGGCTGGTGGGACCTGAAATTCTTTCTGCTGCCTTGGATAATATGTCGGTACGCTGTTGATGTTCTTAAGCATTTTAACGTTGTTCTTAAATGTTCATTATTTATTGTATTTGCCTTCTAGTGTAAGCCCTGCTTGCAGGACAGGGCGGCCTAATGAATCGAATCAATCAATCAATCAATTAATTAATTAAATAAATGGGAGGCGACCAAGGGCGTCCAGGGCTGCTCTGCAGAGGCAGGCAACGGCAAACCACCTCTGCTCGTCTCTTGCCTTAAAAACCCTACAGGGTTGCCAGAAGTCAGCTTGTGACTTGACGGCGCTTTCCACCGCCACCACTTTACCATGCCAAAATGAACACACGTGCTCAGATTTCTGCCTCCACCTCCTTTTCCTCCCCTGCCGGGAAGTCTCCTGTAGTCAGCAAGAGCCGGTGTCACTTACTGATATGGTCAATGGCTCCTGCACAGAATTTGCCGTAGAACTTTTTGGCGCCGAGGCCCCGCAAGTCATGTATCGTGAATGGCCACAGGTGCAGAACATTGTTGCGGGAGAAGGCATCGCGCTTTTCTATTACCACCACCTTTGCTCCTAGAAAGGACAGGTCGATGGCTGTTCGAAGGCCGCAGGGTCCAGCCCCAATGATGAGACACTGAAAGAGAAGCAGCAATGTTGGTATATAAAGGGGGGGGGGGGGGAATCCAAAGTTCAAGGGAAAACAAACATACATCCTAGTTCATTTGCCTGCCAGCATTTCTTGAAATGCGGCAGAAGGTAAGAGGAAGTTAAACAAGATATTCAAGGATACCTATACAATTGAGGCGGGATTTCTAGGGTTTGGGCTGCAAAAAGAGCATCACCATTTCATACATAGTCATTTTCAGGCACTTAAAATTCTTGGTCCAGTTGACTTTTTTTTTAAGTCAAAGGCTTAGGGAATGAGATCACTAAACCACCAAACAGCCAGGAGAGAAGAGAGACGGACACAGTGTCAAGAGATGAAGTACATTAACAAGAGACGACATTTGTAAAGTACACTGTGAGCTGTATTTAATCTTTTGAGACATCATGCCTTTCAAGACAAGGAGGCAAGCTTCCCTACGTCATGGAGTGTTGCAAAGTGAAAGCTGTGAATCGTTGGGAATAGATTTTCTCTTTTAAAACACAAGCAATAAATGATAACTATAAGGTGACTCGGTGACTAAAGTGGGACCTTTTAGATAGAGGTCGACAATATTTTTTAAAAAGTACTTTGAAGTTAAAAATATAGTTGTATAGAAATATTGATTTCTAAAAGCCTCCTGCCTTCTCCTGTTCTGTCTTCTGATAACAGGCTGTGCCTTATTTCCTGTTACCAGCCAAATGGTGGGCCACATGGCCTCCATAGCCATGCCATAAACCCACATTCTTCACACTTCCATGCTAGAAGCTAGACTGTGAGGCACCCCACTAGGCCCACATGCAAGAAGTCACGTAGCCGTTGGAGTTTGGGGTCATGTGACTGCAGGCGTGGTCTCCAAACTTCTAGCCTATCCCCACATGTAGCCATAACAACCAAATCTTGGGCACTCCCATTCCCACTCGCAATTGGCTCCTGGCCAGGGCTAATTTGTGATTGGAATTGGCCTATAACTGGTAATTCCCTATGGGAGAGACTCTCTCTCTGTTCTGTTCCTGCTCCCTGCTCTTCCTCTCTGTCCCTGCTCTGTGCTATTGCCCCTGGAAATGCTGTCTCGAGAGACAAAGAACTGTGTTGTGACTGAAGGAGCACATGGTGTGCCAAGATGGGATTTCTCCTCAAGATCCCTTGGTGTCTAATTGGACTATTTGGACTGATACTATCCCGACTGGGTAAATATGAACCATTACTGTGTAGTTAAGGCAAACAGCCCTAGCCTTTCTTGTTTTGAAATCTTTTATAGTTTATATGCTAAGCTCTGTACTGAATAAACATTATCTTTGTTTCTAAATGGTCTCTGATGTTGTACCTGAGTTCCAAGCCTAAAATCCTGTAGCCTAAACGCTGACCACATACGCTACTATTGGAGGTTAAAATATTGTGCATCTCTGGGAAGAGTTGCTAATGTGTTAAGTCCCAGATGCCAGCTGAGAGATTTGAATCTCTGCTCTGAGCTGGAGGGGATTATACACTACTGTAGAGATTGTGGTGGCGTATTGCTCTGACAGAGAGGGTAGCCTACCTTTGTGGGTTGTTGTTTAATGTACTGCAAAAGGTACAGGGTTCCCTCCCATTCCTGGAATGGCCTGGGTGGGAAATACCTGTACAATAGTAATTCAAATTGATAGGTTAACGATCATGCAATTTACGACTTACTTCCAATTTAGGAGCGCCTAGAAGTGTGCAGTTTAACTACTACAGGACAGTTTAAGAAAACATCCTGTCAATACCTATTAGTAAGTTGCCATGGTGCCACAATGAATACGGTATATTGGTCTTTTCTGTCAATTTATATACCACCTTCTCTTCTGCACAACTAATGCACTTTTTGTAATTTGCATTTGTGAGCATATGTGTGTGCGTGCATATGTGTGTGCGTGTTCGTGAGCCTATGCCTGGAAGACACGGCAACCTCTGGCGACTCCTACAGGAGCATGGAGGTCGTTCAGAGAAGTGGCTTAATAGCCTGCTTCCCGACCCTGATATTCCTTGGAGGTCTCCCATCCAAATATTTGCCAGGGTCAGCCCTGCTTAGCTTCCGAGGTCTGATGAGATCGGGCTTGCCTGGGCTATCCAGGTCAGGGCCAAACATTGCGCTGTTGACATGAAGTCAGCACATGATACCACGAGACGGAAGACAGAAGGAATTAGGGGACTTGCAATTAGGGTTACCAAACTCCAAGTGGAAACAGGAGTCCAGACTACAGAGACCAGTTCCCCTAAGGGAAATGGTAGCTTTGGAGGGAAAACTCTATGGCCTTCTTCCCCTCCCAAACTCCACCCTCTTTAGGCACTGCCCCTAATCTCCAGGAATTTCCTACACCAAAGTTGCTTGTAGTGTATTCGGAACATCCCCAAAGAGGTGAAGGATAAACTAGTTTCTACAGTACAGAAAAGCTGAGAGAAGCACATTGCTGCTTTACATTAATAGCCAGCTCTGTGTACAAGTTCCTTTATTTCTCACTTCCACAAAACTCCAACAAGGTGGAACTTTGTCCTTTCCATTCTCAAAAACATCAAACGAGGAAGGGTGTGTGTGTGTGTGTGTGTGTGTGTGGTCTTTCCTAAAGCTACCTCTGCATCCATGGCTGAGCTGGATTGAAATCTGCACCTATTATACACAGGAAAGTTGGTTCTGTCACCGAATAACAGACAATCTTCAATGAAAAGCATTGCACAGGAGTCGTCATGAGATGAGGTGGAATTCCTATGATGCAAGTCATCACTGGACTGTGCAGCAAAGTGATGGAGATGAAGATGCACAACAGGAACCAACCCTCAACTCCCAAGCTATGCAACTCCATGTCTTAACAGATGCTTAATTGAAATGTACATTTCTGCCTTAATATCTTGAAATCTGTTCTGATTTCAACTAGAGACTCAGAAAAAGGCAGGCTAAGGCAGCCACCTAGCCGCCCCTTCCCCTTTCAAAGACTGGATTCTGAGGAGTTCTGCCCAACTGAATAGGCAATTCCAGAGGTTTTCTGCAGGAACAGCTCTTCGCCACTTTTGCTCTTTTCCGCAGAGATTTCTGTAGTCCCAGGAGCAAAAATGCAGTTTGCCCCCTCTTGTGGAGCAGCAGGGGAATTCCCAGAAACAGGGAAGTCTGATGCTGCGTCACTAGAGAGGACAAACTGTGTTTTTGCACCTGGGACTGCAAAAATATCTGCGGAAACTAGCGAAAGAGACAGAACAATACAAATGCAGGAGCGGGGAGAGGTGCTGCTGTGGAAAACGTCCCAGTTAAAAGTGCAGTGTCAGAGTGTCAGCTGCAAAAACCGCCCAAATTCTTGTTGTCTCTAAGGTACCACTGGACTGTATTCTAGCTGTGAAACAGCTAGGGCCCAACCGTGATCACTGCCGACATGATTACAGCAGAGACCATCTCTAAGAGCCACTCAGGAAGTTTCAGCTGGAGGCCACGGGGCATCTGCACACAACTGCAGTCTACACGGGAGATGCGACGTAGCGAGAGCTTTCTGCCGATTGCTCACCTTCGTGTTGGCGCATACTTTCCCTTTCTTGAAGTCTTTGTGGCAGCCTCTCTTATCCAACTTGGCCCAAAGGGCTTTGGCTTTCCAGTAATTAAGCTTGGACTTGAGCTTGTGGTAGAAAGTACGGTAGTCCTTGGGCTTCAGCTCCAGATAGTCGCAGAGCTCCTGGAAGGCTTTGAGAGTCCCTTTGCAGGTTGTGGCCTGCACAAAGCGGTCGAAGAGGACATGGGCCTGGTTCACCTTCTCGTTGCTCCTTTCCTCCATCCTTCCAGCTTAGCCACCAGTCCTCCTTGCTTTGGCGGCAGCCGTCCCCCTTCCAGTCTGCCTGCCTTCTTGGCTGCTACGTTGCTCATCAACAATCGCTTCTTTTAATCCACGTGCAATAACAACCTAGAAAAGCAAAAGAAAGAGAGATCACCAACCTGTGCGCAGTTGTCATTGGTGGGTTGGAACACTGTAAAAACAGGGGCTGGGTATGCGCTGGGCTTGCAGTCATCATCATTAACATTTATTACGTTCGAAAGATCAGCCAACAGTGGTTTACCAGCATGGTTACTGGTGGAGAGCCAGTTTGGTGTAGTGGTTAAGTGTGCGGACTCTAATCTGGGAGACCCGGGTTTGATTCCCCACTTCTCCACTTGCACCTGGCTGGATGACCTTGGGTCAGTCACAAGCTCTGGCACAGCTGTTCTTGACAAAGAGCAGTTTCTGTCAGAGTTCTCTCAGCCCCACCCACCTCACAGGGTGTCTGTTGTGGGGAGGGGAAGGGAAAGGAGTTTGTAAGCCGCTCTGAGACTCCAAGTAAAGGGCAGGGTATAAATCCAATCTCTTCTCCTTCTTCTTCTTCAAGTCAAAATTCTGAGCCCGAGAAAAAGCAGAACTTCATAACCCACACGAATTTATGCCCATTAAGACACTTCAAAAATTGCAAGTGTGTCTACAAGGCACACACACACACACACACAAAATGATTAATTGAAACATATAAACACAGACACGCAAATAAGGAGGGCTAATTAGTGGAACACAATGACAGAGGGAAACAGAGAATCTCCTGGGAAGGGAGTTCCAAAGTGCTGGCACCACAACTGAGGAGGTCCTTTCTTGGGTTGCCACCTACCTAGACTCAGATGGCCTGGGGTACCTGACCCAAAGCCTCCAAAGATGACCAGAGTGGATGGGTAGGTTGATATGGAAGCAGGTATTCCAGCCCCAAGTCATACAGGGGGTTTAAAGGTCAATACCTGCAACCTGATTTGGACCTGAAAGCAAACTGGGAGCCAGTGTAGATGGAACAAGACTAGAGAGATATGGTCCCTATGGCCCACTCCAATCAACATTCTGGCTACCACATTCTGTAGCTTCTGGACAGCCTTCGAGGGTAGCCCCACGCAGAGCACATCGCAGTAGTCCAGTGTTACCAAGCCACACACCACAGTGGCAAGATCTTTTTTGCCCAAAAAAGGCCACAGCTGGCTCACCAGCCAACTGTTTATCCAGTGGGAGGCCTGAGCCCAGTAGCACACCCAAGCTATGAACCTGCTCCTTTAGGGGAGGGCAACCCCATTTAGAGCAGGAAACTGATTCCTGGATCACCCCCCCACACACACACACAAACACACACAACACAGCAGCCTCTCTTTTTGGTCAGGATTAAGAGGTTAAAGGTGATAACGGATAATGAATTCACAGTGACTACAAGTTCCTGGAGCTAGGGACATAGGCATTCATTCAGACAGCTGGCCCATCCATAAACCTGCCTGTCGTATGTGGCCCAAAAGACAGAAATAAGGTGGGTGAGCACAAGGGACGTGGCCTTTGCTGTCCCGTCCCATCAGTGAGGGAACTCTCTGCTCTCTTCAGTGAGGCTGGCGCCAAACCTTTCAAGTTTTAGGTGCCAGGAGAAGATCCCCTCTCCCTGACATGTGCTTGGTTTCTCATTACTGTTTCTTCTTTTGGGTTTTTTTTATTTGATGAACTCTCCTACCTCTTTCTTTATATTGCATACTCTTTATGGCTCTCTATTGGCTAATTCACTACCTGTTTCAATAAGGGCAGGGAGAGTTGGAGTGGATCAAACATTGTTTGATCACCCGTTTAAAAGTTTGTTTTTCCTCAACAAATACATATAGTGGGAACAGGACTCCTATCTCTTTCTTCTGGTATTTTTTATATGTATGTGTTTGCACACGTGTGAGTGTGTGTGCACCTAGAAGTCATGGTGACCTCTGAAGACTGACCCCTCCTGGAGGCCTGGAGAATATTCAGAGACGTGGCTGAGTAAAGCCTGCCCCTGCCTCCTGCCTCTGATAATCCTAGGAGGTCTCCCGTCCAAGTACTTGCCAGAGCCAACCCTGTTTAGCCTCTAAGCTGAGTTAGTGTGAGCTAGTTCAGTTTTTTAGCCTCCAGCTCACACATTTTTGTCTTAGCTACTGTACACCCCTGCTGCACTACCACCAACTGGCTTGGGTAACATCTTGGGGGGGGGGGGGCAATGGCCCTGGGATGAAGAATGAAGGGTATTGCTGCCTGGAACAATACGAATGATTTGAGATTACCATCACCAGAATCCCATCTTGCTGCTGAGGACTTTGAGACAACATGACCACCTTGTACTGTATAATTGATTGATTGTTTTATCAGGTTTTAGCTGTTTTAATTATTGACATGTGTGCCTCATCTGTAAGCCGCCCTGAGCCCGCTCGCGGGGAGGGCGGCCTATAAATCTAAAAAATAAAAGAAAAAGAAAATAAATTTTAAAATTAGCTCAGGAAGGATGGCTCCAGAGCAAACTGATTTATGCAGTCGCCAAATCGCTCGCTCACAACTCTAATGCCAGTAGCTCACAAAGCAGAACTTTTGCTCACAAGACTCCACAACTTAGAGGGAGCATTGCTTCTGAGATCTGATGAGATCGGGCTTGCCTAGGCCATCCAAGTCAGGGCCAGGACCCCTGTCTTGCTCTGTATTCTCAGTGCTTGGGGGGGAGCAACAGTGGGAGGGCTTCTGGCGTTCTGGCTCCACTGGTGGACCTCTCGATGGCACCTGGATTTTGGCCACCATATGACACAGGATATTGGATGGGATGGGCCATTGGCCTGATCCAACATGGCTTCTCTTATGTTCTCATGTTCTTATTATTGATATATTAACCATGTGAAGTTGATGTCTTGGCTTTTCATGGCTTTGCCTGATACTTCTGGTTGCACTGTAAGCTGCTCTGAGCTGCTGTGTATAGCACGAAAGACAGGCCAAAAACATTTACCGTAACTATATAAATATTTTTTTCCTATTACGTATCTGATACTTAATGGAACCAAGAGGTTGAAATAATTATCGTTACAGAATTTTCAATGAACAGCCAATGAAATCAGAATCTAATACTGGACGGGTGTACAGTTTGGTGGCTGTGAGAATGAGCTACGGTTGGTCTCCAGCTCAATTCTCACTTCTGCCAGAAACTTACTAAATAGGCACAGGCAAGCCATGTTCCCTCGGCCTCAACACTCACCCACCCACCCCAAACTCGAAACACAGAGGTAACATTACAAGCCAATCTGAGAAGAATTGCTGAACAGGTAACAGTAATATATAGGAAGTGCTTAGAACACAGACTGTTCAAATGTTAAATAGCATTAGCATGCCTTGTAAGGGAATTTATTTCAGAAAGGGAGGTGAAGTAAAGATGTGGACATAAACACTGCAAAATGAGAAACACTTCGGACCTCCTTCCTGGAATCCCAGTTAAGTCCTTTAAAATAGCTCATATTCCCCCCAAACAAGCCTGAACGCAAGGGTAAGTAAATATATACGGTCATTACTGGAAGCCTGGGATCCACCAGGTTGACTTTGGCCTCCATAGTTCTCTTTCCCCCCAAAAGCACTCAGAAATAAAATTCCAACTAATAATCAATAGAATAATATTGTTATTAAATGATGCTATTAAAAGAACTGATCCATTTCCACACATACCCCCACCCCAAGCCACGCACCACTCTCCTGACAGGCTAACAAAAGGGACTGTTTCTTTAGCAGCTTTTGTTGGAATAGATATTTAATTTCGATTATCAAAATTATTTTCAAATAGGTGAGATGCCTTTAAGTGATGATGTATCACATGGCCTTTGCCTGTTCAGGTAAATATGCCATCTCAAATGCCCTTTAGTTTTTTTTTTTTTTTGGTGGGGGGAGAGACTTTACGATTGTAATACGAAGCTGGCAGCGTTATATCTCAGGAATGCAGCACTGCTCAGATGTAGGCAGAAAGCTGGCACGCTACTAATATAATGGTACTGGTTCTCATTCAGTGCAATCTTAACAGCACCTGGAGAAGTACAAAAGCACACAAACAGAGCTGTCGACAGGGAAGTAAACGAAGGATGTCAAAGCTAATCTGCAACAACCCAGAGACTCGGACCAAGAGGGAGCCGCTCTCAGTGGGGTGGATTTACACAAGTGGATCAGCTTTTTAAAAAAATGGCACTGTTTGAGCCAAGAAATATTGTTCCATTGTCTATGTGTATACCCAGTTTACAGCTTAAAAAAAAACCCCTAGCTCTCAACACTACTGGTGTATAACAGTGAAAGCAAGCGTAAACGTCCAAAATCAGTGAGAGCAAAGAATAATTTTCAAAAGTTTTAATGTCACACATAACTAGTTTCCCACCTCACTGCAAGTAGCAGGCAAGCGGTATTCAAACATTTCTAATTTGCAAAATGTACACGTACTACAGAACTCAGCTATTCTTGGGGCAGAGTCTCAACTACTTCAGCGCAGAACTGTGAAAATATGGAACTTTGTGAACGCACGATGTTTACCTCACGTTCCCCAACACAGAGCCAAGAGCCAAGTCAGTGGGGCGGGGGGAATAGAGCTAAAGAAAGAAATCACGGCTGACGAAAAGGGTATAGTGGCACAGATATGTGAATCATCCATATAACTATAACCACTGTCACAGAATGGCTATATAAATCTTTAACCCCAACACAAAGGCTTAATCTGAGGTGCAGTTTTTACTAGGTTATCTAGGAATGCATACAGACACTGAAAGTCCACAGACCTCTGTAAACATCATACATACTCAGGGAGGTTTCCAAAGGGCAATCATGTACTGGCAGCAAGGACACCTCTCTTTAGTTTTCTGGTCTTGCGCTGGTACAGAGATTACTGCCTCACAGAAACTCTCGATCTCAAGACCTTGCGATAGGAAGGAGAAGCCAACACCTCTGTGGCATGCTCGACTCATGCCATAAGGGTCTTGATAAGTCAAAGCCAGTTGCATCCAGAACCCCACACAAAAAAGTAGACCAGATCCTGAAGCATCAACAAAATAAGTTCCCAGCACCCTTTCGGAAGACATTTCTGCACTGGTTGAAGATTCAGGATAACA